CAGCTCCACTGTAGCATCGCCCCAGCCCTCCACATCCCCTTTGCACCCCTCCTCTAGGCCATTGCAACAAGCCCTTTCTCATCCTTTTCCAGCTCTGCATCCATATTTCAACTGGGGAACTATTAAACACTCTCTGCACTCAACGCTGGGGTTGTGATGGTTTCCATCCCGTTACCACTGATACTTCAATTGCTTTTTTGACTGCTACCGAGTGCAGGTAGATGCTCCTTTTGTAACACCCAGATCTTTTCTATGAGCGCTAACAACTAGAGTGGAGGTACTAGCACACATGTAAAATGAGGTTAGGGCCTTTCTTAATGTGCTTTTTTTGGTCAGTAGAGGGGTGCTTCTGCCCTTCATACATAGTATCAGGGAACAGCACGAGTGGGGCTGTTCTATGAGGGGTGACTAGCCGGTATCTAATGGTGACCCCATGCCCTCACTAACAGGTATAGTCCCATAGTACCTGAGCAGAGAGGAGACAGGTGTTGGTAACAGGGTCCATCCACAGAGCAAGCAATGAACCAAGTCCAGTATCCACACGGTCAGGAGATAGGGCCAAAATCAGGACTGGATAACAAGGCTACAATATATACACCTAGAAGACAGGGCTAGAGGCAAGGCTAAAACAGGAACACCTACAAGATTGCTCAAAACAAAACTGAAGGCCCAGGCTTGACCTTAAATGCAGCTCAGGAGCATGGGAAGTCCCAGGTGAGGCTCCTTAGGAGAATTAAGGCCCATTAGTTCCCCCACAGGTGCCTGACACAGCTGTGTAAGAGCCATGGGGCAGCAGATGAAATCAGAGCAAACCAAAAAGTGCTTCTTGAAGCTGCATAGTGGATCTGTGCACACATTGCCCCGGGGTGTTCAAAGCATGCATAGGCATAAGGGGAACTTGGATAACTTTCTGGTAAGAAAAAACATGAAAGACTGCTCAAAATGCCTGCTTTGGAGGTCCTTATGTTTTAGGGAATTGTTACCTGGGACAGTGCATACCTGCTTGCTATCCTCTTATGCCATTCAGTAAATGTTCAGTTTTGGCCACAGCTGGTGGCCAACTAGGTGGACCTTTCCTCTGATGGAGCTGCGCTGTTCTTTCTGGCCCTGGATACCACAGGTTGTCATCCTTCCCCAATATTCTTTTTTTTAAGATGTTCCTTCAATTTGGGCTGAGGCAATCAGATCCCACCACCTCTGTAAACTGCCCAAGTCCTCTCATCGTCCTGCAGGGGCTCCGATTTCCTGCTCTCCTCCACCGCATTTAGCTAGGATTGTATTAGCTCAGCTTGCTGTTTCCAATTAGTGTGGCCAACATCTGTCCCATCCCCAAGGATACAGAACTTTTTCATGACATCACTCCCAAAAATACACAATCCCAACCCCCGACTTTCTGCACCCTTTGGGTCTGGAGTTTGTCCTAGCTTTGGTGCCTTTCCATTTGGGTGCTTCCCTGTAGTCACCAGGTCTTGACTGCATGATAAACAGGCGCTTGAGTCCCTAGGATGTGTTGGGATAAAGCTGAGCACCCCATCCTCACACTGCTCACAGAACCAGCCCACTGCAGCCATGTCATTCCCTCCCAGTACACAGATATACTTGCACGCACGAAGTTGGCAGAGCAAGGATGTCACTTCAGAAGTCCTTGGCATCTCTATTCTCTAGCCATGGCGTCACAGAGATGCTGCTTGGCTAGGCCAGCACGAGTGGTGGTGCCTGGCTCCACCTCCAGCCAACCCAGGAGCATTTTGAGTGAGCACAGCAACAGCCCTGCTACTCTGCCCGTCATGTCCAACACGGGGCAGCAAGGCGGGAGGACAAGGGATCATTCATTGTGTCCAATATGCAGGTGGCCTTCGCCTGGGGCAGAGACTCAAGGTCACTTGCTGGCCTGTCTGTTGGCTGATGGTGTACAACTGCCCTTACCTGCCCCTCACCTCCCAGACAGCCTCGAAGGAAGAGCATCGAGGGATGAGATGAGATGCTGCAGCATAGGAATGCTAGTCCAGCTAGAAGGATCGAGTGACAGGCTCCGATATGATCTATCCACAAGTGCCCAAGGAAGCAGTTGCAGAACCAGCCGGGAGTATTCCTGGGGCAAGATGTGCTCTAGAGGTAAAGAATACCACAAGGACGCACAGGCAAGACAAGACACCTTCATTAGGGACTTGGCTGCAGGAGTCAGCCTGCAGTGTGCAGCCATCCTGCCTGAGACGAAGGGCAGCAGGCAGGAAAGTCCACAGGAATGGGATGGATGGGAGAGACGGAACAAAAGGACATCAAACAGCAGCAAATGCATGTAAGAGGTCACTTGCAAGTTGGAGAGCATGCATGCAGCAGTGCTACGGCACCTGGGTACTTTAAAAGGGTTGCTTACACACTGGGAAGGACTGGGAGGAACGACAAGAGGGACGTGGAGCTACAAGGAGGAAGAGAAGGCAGATCCTGAGACCTCTGCCCATAACAGCTCCTCCCAGGATGCCCAATGCCACCAGCCCCAGGCTGTGGCCAGGCCATCTGGAGAAGGGTCATGGAGGCAGCAAGGGTTCAGGGTGGTGATAACCTGCTCCCAAGCCCACTACACAACGGAGCACCAGGCCTAAGAAGGAGAGGCCCAACAGCCAGCCATAGCCACATCTTAGCTCACCAAGAAGGATTGGCTTGGGGATACTCCACAGCTCCCAGCTGCAAGACACATCACAAGTGTCAGGAAAAGGACAAACACTTTTGATAACTCTGCTCTATAGCCAGCAAACTTGCTTGCACCCAGATTGGCCCAGCTGACCCTGTTTCCAAGCCCTGGGCCAAATCTGAGCTCAGAGCCAGCTAGCACATTCTAAGAAATGAGCCCTCTTCACCCTCCAGCATCTCCATAGCCTCTCTGGGTAGCAGAGTGGGAAGGAGATCCTGGATATTTTCTAGTCCATCCTAAAGCAGAGCCAACTAGATTGGGTTGTTCAGGGCTTATCTGGTCCAGAGTTGAGTATCTCTGACGATGGAGATCCCACAGCTTCTCTGGGACTGTCTCAGACCTTTACCACCCTTGGGGGTAAGCATTTTTCTTAACATCCAATATGAATTTCCTGTGCACAGCTTGTGCCCATCGCCTCAAGTCCAGCCCCAGTGGGCCTCCTGGAAGAGCTCAGATCTTTCCTTATAACCCCCCCAACCCAGAGCTGTCCAGCAAGCGAAACTGCTGGTCTGCAGCTTGGCCAGACCCAGGGTCCCAGTCTGGCTCCAAGGGAAAAGGCCTACCCCATGCTGGCTTGGCTCATGTTCATGCTGTGGGCACTGGGGCTTCTTGTATACCAACTGCCCATCCCTCCTTCCCCAAGAAGAGACTGCCAGGACCCTGCCATTGCTCAGGGCCATTGGCACAGGGGAAAGGGCTGCAGTGACTCCCCATGTGACAGTAGGAGTCCCCCCAATATCCCCATCCAGGCCTGGCCCTGCTAGCTCGTCAGCCCTGTAAGAAGCAGCAGCTGAAATCTCTCAGGCAAAAACACAACCCAGTGCTGGCTGCAAAGCTGCCCCAGGCCACAGGGGTGGGTGCACAAACCCAATTACAAAGGAGCAAAGTTGCTGCGAAAGCTTGGCTACCTGAATCAGGGGGGAGCCTGTCAATGCGTCCATAAGCATTTGCTTGCAGGGAGTCCGAGAGGGACATTTTCTCTTGAGACATATGTCCCTCTTGGAGAGCAACCCATGACCGACCAGAGAGACAATAAGCACTGAGGCTAAGTGCTCCCTCAGGGCACGACAGGCTGGGAACTGCATCTCAGATCCAGCTGGGAAGGGGACAAAAGGGTTAAACACAGGAGACAGATGCCTTAGGAACGGCCCCCAACCCTTCCCAGGAACCATGTGGATGAAAACAGTCAAACAGCCATCTGACAGCAGCATCTTACAAAGACCAAAACCCCCCCCCCAAAAAAAAAGCCTTCTTTATTGAGAGCAGCACATAAAAACCCAACAAAACCCAACCCTTCTTGGCTGCCGTACCCTCCGCTCAAGCAAACAAACTAACCCATTCTAGGCTGCATTCCAGTAACAGAAATACTATGGTAGGGAGGAGTCAGCGCTCTGGAAGAGGAAGAGGGAGAGAGGGGGCGCTGCCCGGAGTCGTCGTACAAAAAAAAGGCACAGGGTAGTTGGGAAAGGTAGTGAGCTCCTTCATACGCCAGGCACTTTGTGTTCCTGCTGGCTGGCCTGTACCCGTGGGGCGCAGGGGAGGCAGGCATGCCTAGCACAGACGGACGGAGAGGGAGGCCAGGCCAGGCCGACAGATATGCACGTGGCGAGCGGGGACGGAGAGCCTGGTGCTGGAGCCCAGCTCTCGCCGGGCGAGGGGGAGCTGCACTCCATCCATGCCAGCAGCCCAAGGGCGCCGGACTGGGCAGGTGGAGAGCAAGAGGCAGCAAGGGTTGTCTTTTGGGAACTGTGGAGGAGAGGGGTGGGGGGGCTGGGGTACACTGGCTTTTGGTTTTGGGTCAGCCGCGCGGGGTGGCGAG